AATTTCTCCTTTGCCTTAGGGGCGCCCTACATTCCTTCTCCATTCAGGGGTCCTGGGAGATTTGCTCACAGGTGGTGCTGGAGGGGGTCCTAAGGAACGGAGTTATTTGGTTGGTGGATTGTTTTCTCCAACTATAATTCCACTTCCCCAGTTTGGATGTTGGCCTTTGTTAATGTGCTTCTTATCTGCTTTTTTTTTCTCCCTTTCCATGAGAATAGAATAACAGCATGTATTTCTGTTTATTAACCTAATGCCTTTTGGAGAAAAGGCAAGAATATTATTACTCATAACAAAAATTGTTTTTGCATTACTGTGGCTAGGGGTGGCTGATCCAGGTTTTTAGGGAAGAGCTCCTTAAGGAAATCCTGAAGGAATTAACAATCCTAAAGTGAGGAACAGGGCCTTGGGAGGGGCCCCTACAGTCGGGGACCCTGAAGCTTACCTTTCACTACATAGTACCTCCAGCTCTGGCTGTGATACTTTGGAATTTAAACTTCTCTTGTTTCCCCTAATCCCTCATATCCCTGTCTTATTACTGGTGTAATTATTTGTTAAGTCATAGGAACCGAGATGTTAACTGGGCCTCTATGAAACATAATGGGTCCTCCCTGTCTCCACTTCTCCTTTTCTTCCTTCTTCCAGATAAGCTGCCCTGATTGACAGCAAGAACTGTGGCCCTCGGGTTGGGTTTTCTTGGCAACATCTGGTGACCTCCTTGAGGGCCTGTGTAGGGCTGGTACAGCCCTGTGTTATCTGCCTCTTCTACCTGGCGTCTCGCAAGTGTATGGCCTTAGTTGTAAGGGCAGGAGGTCAGCATCGCCCCGAGATCACTCTTGACTAAATGATTCAATGATGTGTCATCTCTCCCTTGCATACAAGGCAAATCAGCCTTTCCTCCCATGTACTTAGCAACCTAAAGGGGATTTTAAAGAATTACATCAATGATTTTAGTTACAGGGTTCAATAATTTGAGCTTCCAGCTGGCACTCTTAATGACAGCATGTATAACAGATAACACTATGTATACCTGCCCTGTAGAGGATGATGAATGAATGAATGAGCTAGTAAGATACACAACAAGGAGGACAGCCGGGGAACAGAGATAGGAAAACTCAGTAATGAAGAAGGGAGAGGAATAGACCAATCTCCTGTTGGCTCTTTCAGTATCAGCAGTCAGGGAGTGGAGTCTACTTAGATATCTACATTTCCTCATCCATAAGAAGCTATTCAGTATTTTGTCTCTAAGAAGGCAGTTAATTTAGATGCAAGAATAAAAAGTTTCTATTATCAAGGAAAATGTTCTTTTATTAATAACTCCTACATCTTTTTCTGCCTGGATGAATACTACTACATGAAATCTTATTATATTCTGTTTTGCTACAATAATAGACTTCTTTAATAACCATTATTTATGGGGGCTTGTAAATGAAGATGGTGCACTACAAAAAGAATTCACACCCCAGTGATACTGAGTCAGGAGGTCATCTGAAACATTCCTCTGCCTTCCACCCAGGGTGAGGAAATAGTCAAATTATAGTTTAGACCATGAGTTTTCACAGACCTCTGTACTCTTTCATCAAAATGAAACTGTAATGGCCTTTGCACTCTGAGGAGACATGTTGTGTGTAGCTCAAGGTATTGGTTGATCAGAAATGTGGAGGGTGAGTGCATGGACAGATTTGTTTCAGGAAACATATTCCTTATTAAATGAGAAAAATCAGTTAAGATTTAGTACTTAGCTAATAAGGAACCCAGTGATTTGAAAAATGATAGCCATAGAATTTTTACCTAAGCCACTGTTTTGATGTTAGCTATTTGATCTTAATTTTTCATTTTTCTCACAAGAAGAGAGCGTATAGGCTGGCTTTCCAACCCTGGAAGAAATTTGGAAAGGGATCTCCATACCTATAAAACTAGCAACTACAGTTTTCTTGAACTTGAGTTATAAATGGCTAACTGGAAACAACTTGAAAGGCCTTTGGACAAAAACTTGGTTAGGATTCTTGAAACCACGAGCAAAACCCTACTCCATGCAAAATAAGAAATAATATTTAATGTGAATTGGTTCTTCTCAGTCCTGGGTGAGAATCAAGAGTAGGTGAAGTGGTTTTTAATAAGTTGGAAATGGGAATTAATAATAATATATTCAAACCTTTTGAACTTCCAATTCTTTTGGAAGGTCTCTAGGATGATAATTCCTAGAAAAAATAAAATGAAAATACGACCTTCTTGATCCTATAGAAACATTTAATAAAAGACACTGAAGCAAAAATTTCTCCAAGCCACCACTCCCTTCCAGGTAAATAAAAATGGCAGGCTGGAACTGGAATGTACCTAGTGTTCCATTCCAGCCTGGAGAGTTCTTTAACTCCATCCCCTTGTGGGTCTTTGTACTTCAGAAAGCCTTCTCATCAGTTCTCTAGAAACTTCAAATTGATTGAGGAAGCAAACAAGCAAACAGCCAACAAGCAGAAGAGAGTTAATATAACATCTTTTAGAAATGGGAATATACTGCTGGGCATACTTGGCCAGACATCATTAATCCTTCAGGAATTGAAGCCTTTTTGATGCAATTGACCTTTAAATCAGATTGGGAAAGGTACAAAGGCAGCTTTTCCCTATAACTCTAGCCTTGCCAAGGGGTTCCAGAAAAAGAAATACACATTTTTTTAAAGCATTGATTTTTATGCAAGTAGATCCTCAATTCATATTGGAATATGATCATATAACTCCCTATAACTTATGGAAATGCAACATCAGTGTCTAAGAAGTCTAAAAGAGGTAATCTCTGAGTAGTTCTCTATTACTGATATCTTTTAAAACTTTTTTTTTTTCAAGTAGGTTCCACACCCACCGTGGAGCCTAGCACAGGGCTTGAACTCATGACCCTGATCTCAAGACCTGCACTGAGATCAAGAGCCAGATGCTTAACCAACTGACCCTATTATTTTTAAAAACCAGCTCTAACCTTTTTGTTAGATACTTAAAGAAGTATTAATGTCAAAAGCATATACGTTACAAAGAAAAATTTATGCTGGTAACTGGCTCCTTTTAGAAGACTCTTGAACTGGACAGAACTCCTGGTTGCAAGGGGCAGAAAGCCACCTCAGACTAACTTGGGCAAAAATGTTTATTGGAGGTGCCTTACGTTTTGATCTGTGAAGTTGTAACGGCATGGCATTCTAGTTTTAAAGAAGGGAATCGTGTCAACAGGAACTTCCCCACTTTCTGGCATTTGCAGAAATACTCATTTTGGTATCATTAGCTTCATTTTGCACTTTCAGTTTAATGAGGTTTCTAGAAGTTAGTATTGTTAATTGTAGGGACATCTGTGTGATTTTGCTGATCCAGCATCCAGTTCTTCGCCTTCACATGACAATAATACCTAGATTTTCCTTTGGGAAACCAATATCTCCCCTATTCTCAAACCATGTGATTTACATGAAGTTGACACTATGTGTTTGTCCAAGAGACATGCTAATGACCCAGCTCCGGCCAGTTCGAATGCCACATTCCAATGCATTCCAAGCACTGGCCAGTTGTGGTCCAAGGATGGAACACCTCCCCTCCCCACCCGAAACTATTGGGAAACAGTCTGGGAATGCTTCTGAAGCTGCTGGTGGCCACAGTGTGGGAAGACCTGAATTAGAATAAAGGCAAATGAGAGGAGTAGAGTTGAGGGCTAGAAGTTCCTGAAGAGGATTTCAAGTCCAGCCATGTCCAAGCTGGACTGTCAGATGAGACAGTAAAATTCTTTCCCTTCTCCCCTTACCCCTATTTTGGTTACAGTCTGTTTGATTTGGATTTCTGTACCTTGCAACCAATGTGAAAAATGGCATCATCTTCATGAATGGTGTTATAATTCCTAGTGAGCTCTCCTGCACCAGTCCCTCGTATTCTGGATGTCTATTGCTACATAACAGATCACCACAAAATGTAGTAGCATAAAGTAATTATGATTTTATTTATCTCTCATTGTTTAAGGGGGGGCCAGAATTGGGAAGGGCTTGGCTAGGCAGATCTCACTTGGAGTCTCCATGCAGTTGTAACCAGACCGTGGGCTGGAGCTAGAAGGGAGCAGGCAGTGGGGCGGGAGGAGCCGGGGGCTAGCAGCACAGCATTGTCTCTTCATGAAGTCTGGGGAGCTCTGTGTCGACTACTTGGGCTTCCTCACTCAAAGTACTCAGATTGCTTGCATGGCTGAGTGTTCCAAAACACTGGGTGTAAGTTGAAGTACCTTCTATGACCTAGCTTTAAAAACCACCATACTCTGCTCAACTGGTCAATAAGGCTGGGGAGAGGCTATAGACCCTACCTCTCAATGGAGACATGTTAATGAATTTGCAGACATGTTTGTAAACCACCACCATGTTATAAGCAATTCTCACATTGTGAGAAGTTACTATAATCGGAATGATGCATGTAAGTAGTCTTAGTTTTGTGAAGACATGTCTTTAATTTGTACTTTTGGGAGCTAGATTAACTTTCTCAAGTCATTAAGGTACCACTAAGCCTAGATTATACGTATTTAAAATTAAGTCAAGATTTCTTGTGATTTCAGGCTTCAGAATTTCATTTTGTTCCCATATTAGGCACTTCAAACTTCAACATGAATAGCATTGGAAAATGCTTAGATTTGTGTTAATTCTCTACTTCATCATTGTATATTGATTTAGTACTGAGGTGTGGTCATTTGGTAACTGGTAACCTCAGTCAATGTGGCTTCCAGAAGTGCTTAATTGTCTTAGTGACAGTTTAAGGAGTTGGGAGTATCTTATTTTATGGACTCTATATGAAATAGCAATTGGGGTGTGGATTTGTAAAACTTGACCTGGGTTATGGGTCGATCACTTTGCCTCCCTGACCAGTATTGGAAATCCTCCTCTATGCCAAGTGTTACCACGGAGTAAAAAATCAGAATACAACTCTTTTCAACTTTCTCCCAAGTGGAAGAAGTCAAATAGATCTCAAACTAATTTTTTTTTTTTTTTTCTGTTTCAGAATGTAGCAAGTAATCCTTCGGAATAAAACCGGCAGTTGAGTAACTCATGCAAAGGTAATTTAGAGCACAAATTAAATCTGTCAGAGTGGTATTAGATTTGCAAAAGCTCATAAATAACAAATGAAAGGTCACAGAGCTGTGAAAATGAGAGTGTACTTCTTCATAAAGAGAACTGTAGTCAGGGATGGGGTCCTCAGTGCGTGTTCAAATAGCGGCATATAAAATGGAAACGCAACATCTTTTCTAAATGTCTAGGACAGTCCAAAGGCACAGTGGACTCCAGAGAAAAGTGTCAAAGTCCTAAAAAAGACCCTTAATATTATCCAAGCATGTCCAGCATCATATCTGGGAGGCTTAGGGATTAAAGCTTCATTGCCTGCTGAGAATCTGTACAGGAAAGATACATCCCTGTCAGCAGAGCCTGTATTTCAGTAATGGTTAGACTAATTGTGAATGCGTGTAACTCATCTTTCATATTTTAGTTCCTAGAATATACTAATAGAGTGAGTAGCTTTTCATGACTTATTGCAAGAATGTAAGCAATTGGTGGTGATATTAATAAATAGTTCTGCCCATTCTGTTTTTCTTATGGGAAAGAGAGGTGGAAAATATAGCCCTGGCTCCTATAAAGTAAACAAACTCTTTTACAGTGCACTGTATGCAGAATTTTTTTTTTTTTTTAGTGCTATGTTGGGCCTGACTTATGTAAGGGAAACAAAATATAGATTTATAAAAAGCAATGTGTGGGCTGCATCAAAATTAAAAATTTTTTATGTTGAAGGACACCATCAAGAAAGTGAAAAGTCAACACAGAGAAAGGGAGAAGATATTTGCAAATCATTTATCTGAAAAGTATCCAGAATCCAGAATATAGAAAGAACTCTTAAAACTCAACAATAAAAAGACAGTAACCCATTAAAAAATGAGCAAAGGATTTGAATTGATGTCACGCCCAAGAAGATCTACAAATGGTCAGTAAATACATGAAAAGATGTTCAGCATCATATCACTTGGGAAATGCAAAACAAAATCATAATGAGATACCACTTCATGCTCACTCAGGTATAATTCAAAAAATTAATCAAAATAAGGATTGGTAAGGATGTGGAGAAATTGGAACACTGGTATTTTGCCGATGAGAATGTAGTGTGGTGCAGCCACAGTGGAAAACTTCAGCAGTTCCTCAAAAAGTTAAACTCAGAGTTACCCTGAAACCCAGCAGTCCCACTCTTAGGTGTATATCCAAGAAAACTGAAGACCTATATTCACACAAAAGTTGAACATGAATGTTACAGCAGCATTATTCCCAGTAGTCAAAAAGTGGAAGCCACCCAAATGTTCGTCACCCAATGAATGAATAAAGAAATGTGTTATATCCATATCATGAAGTATTACTCAGCTGCAAAAAGGAAAGCTATACCCATCCATGCTACCACATGGATGACTCTTAAAAATGTTATACCAACTGAAAGAAGCCAGACACAGGAGGCTATATGTTGTATGATTCTGTTGACACAAAATGTTCCCAATAGGCAAATCCACAGAGACAGGAAGTAGATCAGTGGTTGCAGGTGTTAGGGAGAGAAGGGCATTGGGAATGGCTGCTAATTATACAAGAGTTCTGGAGGAGTGCTGGAGAAGTTCTGGACAAAGGGCTGGGTTCTTTTTGAGCCTACAAGGGAAGCAAAAAGAGGAACTTTAAAATTATCAGGAATCCTGGACGCCTGGGTGGCTCAGTGGGTTAAGCCTCTGCCTTCAGCTCAGGTCATGATCTCAGGGTTCTGGGATTGAGCCCCCCATCGGGCTTCCTGCTCGGCAGGGAGCCTGCTTCCCCTCCCCCGCTCCCGCTCTGCCTGCCTCTCTGCCTACTTGTGATCTGTCAAATAAATAAATAAAAATCTTAAAAAGAAATTATCAGAAATCCTAAACCATTTTGGTATCTAACCTTTCAGTCCTTCTTCTAATTATATATAAGCCTAGGAAATACATATTTCCTTTTTTCTTTTTTTTTCATATTTCCTTTTTTCTAAAGAAGAAACAATTTCATGAGTAAAATGTGTTGGAGTCTTATAGTTTTAGCTACTTTAAGAATTCAGAAACTGTACATTAAACACATGTGTGAGGAAACATCTACGGAGACATGCGGCTTCAGAGGGATATAAGATGGTGTGCTCATGACCTGTGCTCTCTCAACATCTTCTTCATAAGTAAAATCTAACGGATTTTGTAAAGCCGTTATGTAAATAGTACGTGGATATATAAAGGTAATGGAGATGGAGCATAGGCCTTCCAGGATAGGTTGGGGATGACATGGAGAGAGTGTGGATGGGCATCAGCCATCTGTTTGCTTCATTGCCTAAGGATGGCAGGAAGTCACCCAGGTCTGCAGGAGCCTCTGCAACATGAAAATGGCAGTGGCAGGAGGTACCCCCTCCCTGTGCCCCTCCTGATTTACCCCTGCCTGGCTAGCCATGGGCTAGCTGTTGGGGTCAAAATGTGTGGATTTCCAGTAGTTCTAGAAATTGTTATATTTTTTCTGATTTAAGGAAAGGGAGCTGTGTGTTGGACCTGGATTCATGGCACCATATTCATTTTCATGGCACCATATTCACTTTCACTTAGAACACAACATTTACATCATAGTTACCCTGACTTAGAAAACTATATTGACTCTAAAACTATATTTTGAACAAAATGATAGTAGTAAAAATATTGGGAAATATTATACAGTATTTCCTATGCGACAGACACTGTTCTTAGTGCTTCACTCTGTTACCTCACATCATTCTCATAATAAACTTTTGAGATAGGAAGTATTATGATCCTCTTTTGCAGATGAGAAAACTGAGGCACAGAGTGGTTAAGTAACTGGCTCAAATTTGCATAACAAAAAAAAGTGTTGGAGCAAGGTTTCAAATCCAGGCATCTAGCCATTATCTCTGTCCATTACTTACATATAGTAGTACACACGTGCTATGCAATGAAGGCTGGGGATGTTTAATTTCAGGGGACATTAAATAACGTGGACTGCTTAGTGCAAGTACCGTGCAGAGGGAGCTCTTTAGATTGGTAACTGGAAGAAATACCGTGGTTCACAGAGGCTTTGATAAAACCATGCCCCTTGGATTGTTTGGTGCATGGGAAGTATTGGTGCTGACAGTGAATTTCACATTACAAAGAACTTCGGTTGACAGCTAGTTGATATTTAATGTTAGGTTGTATCAAAAGAAAACCAGATGGCTTTCCTCACCATCCCTCTCACCCTGGGCAGGGTTGCAGACTGTGAGGGGCTGGGGGCTGCGGAAGCAGGGCAGAGTCCTTCCTCAGCTGTGTGTAAAACATAGCACCACTGCATTCACTGAAGATGAGATCATGTTTCTCTCTGTCCCCTGGCAAATGAAAAATATCTTTAATATTGGTCTGTTTCCTCATCATAGTTTTTAAACAAGTGCCTAGTACAGGGCCTGGCAGTCACACTTGTTAAGGGAACAAGCAGCTCATTCCCTTCTCGAATGCACATTTGCCTGGGGAACCAAATGTAAACAGAAGATGGGGAGTGAGCATGAAATTGGCCAGGCTGGCATCAGCAAGCTGCTACCGGGTGATAAGAATTCCACTCTTATTTCCTAATAGTTTGTCTATTTTTAAAAAATAATGAATGCATCAGTCTATCTGGAGTTAATTGCAGTGTATTGTACATTGTTTGGCTTTGCTTAATCTTTCCAGTTCTTAATTAAGTAATCAGAATACTATTCAGTTAATATTTTCCTGTTCTATAATTTTGAAAAATTATTTATATCATGTCAATATTTGTGTGTATTTCTGAGCTCCTTAGAGTGTTCTATCTTCTGTATTCATTTTTATACTTTCTATCCTGCTGTCATAAATATTAATATCTGATCCATTCATATTGATTTTCTCTATCGATTTTGTTTTGTAATCTATTTACTCTTGATCTATTTATTTTGAAAATAATTTTATAATTATAAATTAATCACATTAATTTATAAAATTAAATATACTATTAATTAACTAATAATTATAAAATTATTTTGCCATGATTTAAAAAAATCTCATTGAATATTCATATTAAAATTTGTAAACAAAATGTCCAACTGGAGTTTTTTTCTGCCAGTTTAAAATAAAGTGACTATCTAATGTGACCCCTTGTGTGGGCAATAGAATGATGGTATTTGCAAAAGAGTAGAACATGAGGAACAGATTCTATGGGAAAGCAGTAAGATGGCAAGCAAATAGCACGTATAAATTAAGATACATATCCACATTCTTAGTGAGCTGGACAGTTCAACCCTAGTAAAAGATTTTACTGCTCTGGATTTTAATTGAAAAGGAGAGAACCAGAATGAAGGAAACAATGATGATTGGCTATTAGTGCTACGGTGATACTTTTACCTCATTTTATCAGTTTAAGTTGATACACTTTTTTTTTTTTAAGATTTTATTTATTTATTTGACAGACAGAGATCACAAGTAGGCAGAGAGGCAGGCAGAGAGAGAGAGAAGGGGAAACAGGCTCCCCGCTGCCCAGAGAGCCCAATGCGGGGCTCAATCCCAGGATCCTGGGGTCATGACCTGAGCTGAAGGCAGAGGCTTTAACCCACTGAGCCACCCAGGCGCCCCAAGGTGATACACTTTAAATCAGTCTTTGGAAGAACAGAGTAACACCTAGCATTTACAAATGTGGATTCAGTGGCCAGACTGTCTTGGTTTGAACCAGCTCCTCTCCTTATTTGCTGGACTTCAGTTTACTCAAATGGAATGGTAATAGTGCTACCTCATAGAGTTGTTGGGGGAATTAATTGACATGTGGAAAGGGCTTCAACAGCACCCAGCCAATACTGTTAGTTATGTAAAGGAGATTTTGAACTGCAAAGATCCTTTTTGTTTTGGGAGAGGCTAAGTTGCCTACATTCATTTCTTTCTTTCTTCCTCCTTCCCTCCCCTCCCCACCCCTCCCCTCTCTTCCCCTCCCCTTCCCTCCCTTTCCCTTTCCTCCCTTCCTCCGTCTGTCTTTCTTTCTTTCCTTCTTCCTCTCTCTCTTTCTTTTTTTCCCAAATCTGAAAGTCTACACTGTATAGGTTTTTTTGGGCACCATGACTCAGGAAGGCTGCACTCTCATACCTGGCCTTCACCATTATCAAGGAAATGCTCTTGAACTCTTGTACCCGACTTGCTCATTGTTGCATTCTGGCAGACATCCCCTGGCCTCCTGGCAAAAGTACCTGGATTTCATTAAAATCCAATCTCTCTTGATACCATCTCTGCTGTGTATGAGAAGAGACTCCAACCCATGGAGCTTTAGCTACTTGATTAAGAATAGCTTGGGACTGGACCGTTCTAAGTGCTCTAAAATTACTGTGTACACTCTTTCTCTCCATGTCTACCCACTTCCCGGTGCCTTTGGCTCCCTGTCTGCCCCGAGTCCATCCTCCCAGCACAGGACCTCTGCCAAGTCTCCCATGGTTTCCTGGAGTTGGACACTGAGATGAGTCTTGCTTCATATTTCAGGTGCGAATTCCCTCCGGTGGTCCCAAGTTCTGGCTCCCAGGCCCTCTGTATGAGTGACGCCTCAGTCTGCCATGGAACCTGGCCCTGCCCTGGCCTGGCTCCTGCTCCTGAGCCTGCTGGCAGATTGTCTGAAAGCCACCCAGTCAAGAGACTTCACAGTGAAAGACATTGTCTACCTCCATCCTTCAAGTAAGACTCTGTTCTCTTTGCAGCAGAAATGTCATTTTACTTTGAATAAGATGTGAGTTGATAAATGGACAGGAGAACTCAGCCTTCTGTCCCCAGCCTTCTGCAGGAGAAACACTGGCTGACTTAATTGGGGGGTACAGGTGCTCCCAAAGATGTTGTATGTTTTACCCTCCCCTTTTTATAGGGTGTTTGTTTTTTATTTCTAGGCAAATCGTTAAGGCTTCTTTTCTCTGTTCCCAGAACAGTCGCTCTGATTCTGAACACCTTTCCCTTTAACTCATGCCAGCTCTCAAATCAGTTATCAAAGTGAACCGGCATGTCCCAGGACGGAGGTGTTTGTCAAAGATCAGTCCTTTGTAGGCAAGATAATAACTGGTCTTCCTGTCTGTGCATCTGATTCTCCATTTCAGCGTGATTGGCCTCCCACAACTTCCTATTGCCTATCCCTTTTGGTTTCCTGTGTTCAAGAATCATCTAGGGAGTGCATAATAATGTCGGTGCCCAGATACCTTCCCCGGTGTGTCTGATTGCACATATCTGGGACTGTACTCATGAATTTTTGCTTTCAGCAAGAATTTCAGCTGCTCCTGTTACTGGTGGTGTTCTGAGGATCACACTTGGGGAAAACACAGCAGTTTTACTTCCTCTTTTGGGCTCTGTCTCTGTATTTATCTTCTCTCTTTTATATCTGTTTGAGTTGTATTCTGCATGGCCCCTGTGGAGGTGAGAGCTGGGTCTATTGGGTATATTTTGACCATTAGCATTGGCCCTGAGGTATGTAACTCTTCGGAAATGTTCTGTTCAGCAAACATTTTTTGAGTGTCTACTATGTGTCAAGCACTGTGATAGGCATGGGAGGTATTAAGGCAAATAAAACATAGTTCTTGCTTTGAGGATCTCGATAGCCCAAGTGGAGGCAGACACACGGACTCCTTCAGCTCCACACAGTTACAGTATTTAATGTGTCTGTGTTGTGCTTTAGATGAGAGGTGTTCCGTGGAATGCACAAGGGCTTGGATCTTGGGTGAGTGTCTAGTTCAACTGCTTTGTAGCCTTCTGGCTTACAATAAATTCCCTAATTTTGTGAAGGCTAAATAAAGGAAAGTGTGCAAAGCACTTAGAGTAAATGCTCAATGAATGGTAGAGGCATCTTGTTAAGTGTTGAGTTCTACATTTCTAGAATGGATAAGATAATACACACCCTGTTGCATTATTTTGTGGACTAGAAAGAATAGCCATAAGATACTAGGCACATATATAGTAGGCATTTGGATGTTCATTGCTTATGATGTTGTGGTAATTGGCTTAGGTGGTCAACTGAGGTTGCTGAAAATATGTCACTCTAATTTTTGAATTCCAAATATACGTTTTACAGGCAGCAGATAGTTCCTGGACTTAATGCTTTTGTACATTCTCACCAGTAAAGGCTGGTGCCTACTGGTTAATTGTGTGGAAAGATTATCTGGCTCCTTGTTTTTGCAGGACTGTTGATTTTTATAATCATGAAAAGAAGGTGCTTGGATACTTGCTGTGTTTTCTAGGATTGCATTTTGTTCTTTTCCCCAAAGAGCCATGCTTTTTTATTAGACTTGGTGAACAAAAACCTAGATTTCAGTCTCGGTTGTGATTGCTAAAACCTTTGGTTTCTATGGGATTCTTTGTTCGCATCAGTGATAGACTCAGTCGTCACTAGGCCAAAAAATAGGCCTCCCCTGAGGCTGTCATTGTCCACACAGGGTGGGGAGGAAAACCAAGGGGGTTGGATTTAAGTGTGCAAGAATAAAACACACACACCACTCCTGTGCCAGTGCTGTGGTGGGTCAGTGCCTGGGCTGAGTGGACCCCTATCTGAAAAGGCCATTTCAGAATGGGATCTCTGAAGGATGAGCTCTGCCAGGCCAGAGATGCAATCACTCCCGCTCTCTGGAAGTTGGCGAGAAAGTTCCGCTCATGTGGCCTGTTTTAGGTAAATAAGGCCATGGCCTGATTAGAAAGAATTCACCATAGTGAGGTGCCAGAGTGGCTCAGTCGGTTGAGCAGCCAATTCCTGGTTTCGGCTCAGCCCTTGATCTCAGGGTCACAGGATTGAGCCCCATGTTGGGCTCCGTGCTCAACATGGAGTCTGCTTCAGATTCACTCCCTCTGCCCCTCCCCCGAATCATGCTCTCTCTTTCTCTAAAATAAATAAGTCTTAAGAGAAAAGAATTCCCCATATAGAAAGAATTGGTAGCGTTTTCTGATTTGATCTTCAGGTATGGAGGCTAGAAAATGTCATTTCTAAGCTATATTATACATCAATGATTTACCAACAGCTCTGAGTTGAGTTCTCAGAGTCTCTGCGACTGGTCACAGAAAGTAAAAATTCTTGCTGGATTGAAGTTACTGCCAACAGTTCCCACTTCACAATTCTCTGCACCATTTCAGAAGTTTTTGATGTTTGTTTGCTTGTTTTTACACTTTGGTTTTTTAAAAGGTCATGTTCCTCTGCCCCTGAGCAGTACCCACTCGACCAGGTTTAGATAGAGTGATCTCTCTACAAATAAGCCGGTATCTGTAGAACATAGAGCATAAAAAATAGAGGGAAGAGTGGGATTATTTTGACTTTGAATTATTAATATAATCGCCTCACTTTGTAGATGGAGGCACAAACAGCTTTCCTGGGTTCAGCGAGTGAGCCAGATTCCATCAATGTTAGATACCGCTCAGAACCTATCCAAGGAGAAATCAGTGATACCAGAGATGTTGAGAAGACACATGAATTTCCTGCACCGGGCAAACAAACTCATTTCCCATGGGCTGTGAACAGCCCTCAGAGATCACAAGTGGGGTGAGATTGAAACCCTGGTGGGGAAAGTTCAGCATCCCATGACTAATCTCCTTTGATCTCTGGTTCTCTAATTTTTCTGTTTTCTGTTTGTTTGTTTTTAAAGATTTTATTTTTGAATAATCTCTAAACCCAGTGTGGGGCTAGAACTTGCAGCCCTGAGATCAAGAATTGCATGGTCTACCAGCTGAACTAGCCAGGCACCCCCTGGTTCCCTAATTTTTGAAGTTTCTAACCTTTGAGGAAAAAAATCAACTTTATGGCTTTCAAACTTGAGGCACTGTCCTCAATAACATTCTTTTTTATAATTTGTATGCTTTTCTTTTCTTTTTCATTTAAAAAATGTTGAATTTCTTCCCACCCAATGATTAAGATACCAAAGACCAATAAAACCTTCAAAACAGGAGTTAGCATTCAGAGAAATGGAGTGACTTATTTGGGTTCCAGATGTCAGAAGAGTTAACATCTTAAGTGGTTGCAACCTGTTCTTGGCCTCTATTTCTTTACTCATAATAGAAACCTTTCCTGAGAAATCCAGTTTCCCCTCTGGTTGCATATTCTGAGTCTTAATCACATGGAACAAAAAGTTGTATCTCTGAAGGGGGCTTGTTTATGCCCAGATAGTGAGCCAACCAAGTTTCTTCATAATTCTATGCTATGTAGGTCTTAGGGAGTAAGGGCACTCTCAAGAAAGGTACCAGAAAATGCATTTCTGTCAGAAATATGTTCATAGTCTTCAAGTGATACTGGCAAAATTTTGTGGCTAGATGGACTCAGAAGGAAGATCGATTTATTAGAGTTCTAGAAATTTTAAGTTTGCATCCAGTTTCCAAAAACAATGGGAATTGATTTGGCAAGAATAACACAAGTTTGGATGCATTTTGTAGCAGCATGCCTCTTACAACAAGATTCTCTTCTCACCACAGTTTTGATAACTGAAGGCCTTTGTCCAGGCAAAAGTTCCAAGAGATGGAAACAAAGATGAAATCTCTTCCATTGCCTTACGAATGTATTATAATCAGTTGAACCACATCTGACCATGGGACTCTAATGGACAGATTAAATTACAGGAAGTAACTAGGCACGTTGACGTTTCTTTTTTTCTTTACAATCACCTACTCTTGAGGGACCAAGGACTTATGCCCTGAAATACAGAATACTAAGCTTATTAACTCTGTGATCAAGAGCCAAATTAGATTCATTCACAGCTGAGCCCACAACGATTTGAAACTCTACTTGCCCTGCAATGCTTTGAAGTAACAAAGAAGAAAATAACACATCTCTTAGGAATCTTTTTCCTTCCTTTTAAAAAAAGAACTTCTTTATCAGATGTAGTATCAGTTAGCAAGTTACTGGAGACAGTTGCTCATCTGTAGACCTTAGTTTGGGTTAAATATTTCCAGAGGGAAGAATTTAACCGTTTACTTGGCATTGTGCCACTTAAAAAATGGAAGCCCTTTGAAAAGATTTGTCACTGAAAAGAGTTTGATTATTCACTGATCAGTACTACCAACCAAGATGCAAACACAAGTTCCTATAAGCAAACATTAGTGGTTGAGACACACACAGAAATGAACTTGCAGATTTAAAAGTAAAACTCGCTGAAAAGGAGATCATTTAGTTAATCGTCAGTGGTATGTGCTGATAAACACGTCCAGAGATAAATGATGTGAAACAAAGCGTCCTTTTGCTACCATAGTGTGTTAGCTCATATTCCCATTTAGATTTTGATACACTCTGGGTTAACTTCAGAGTCCAGACCTCCTTGTGTAAGTTATTCCTAATAACTTAGTATTTAATGTCATATGTCACTAGTCTTACAAAAGGTCATTTTGAAGAGTCTATTAAATAATCCAGATTTGGGAACACTACAACTTATTAGTGCGAGGTTCTCAATAACTTTATTCTTGCAGTGGCTCGATCACTAATCTTCATTCAGAGTTCTTAATTTATCTCTTTGATGGGAAAGTTTCCAGGAATAACTAATCCAACATTCCAGTGAAAAGTTTTACTGGCTGTAGTGACAGATAAAATTGGATGCTCTCGTGAATTAATCATGCAGTTTGAAGGGGAACGGCTAGCTTGCAGTCATAAACCTAGGTGCATATGATGATAATTTTTTGAGAAATACTTTTCTGTGACAAATCATTTACATCTTTCCCCCCCAAAACACTTACTTTGATAATTCCTCAAATTTTACAAGCTGTTTTAAAGTTCTTCTTTTTTTTTATTTTTTTTAATTTTTTTTTAAAGATTTTATTTATTTATTTGTCAGAGAGAGAGAGAGAGAGAGAGAGCAAGCACAGGCAGACAGAATGGCAGGCAGAGGCAGAGGGAGAAGCAGGCTCCCTGATGAGCAAGGAGCCCTATGTGGAACTCGATCCCAGGACGCTGGGATCATGACCTGAGCCGAAGGCAGCTGCTTAACCAACTGAGCCACCCAGGCGTCCCAAAGTTCTTATTTTTTTTAAATACTTTTTTAAAAAAAGATTTTATTTATTTATTTGACACAGAGAGAGAAACACAGAGAAAGAGGGAACACAAGCAGGGGGAGTGGTGAGGGAGAAGTAGGCTCCCCGCTGAGCAGGGAACCCGATGGGGAGCTCCATCCCAGGACCCTGGGATCATGACCTGAGCTGAAGGCAGATGCTTAACTGAGCCACCCAGGTGCCTCTTAAAGTTCTTCTTTTAAACTGACTTATAGATTACACATTTTTAAATTGATAGTGAAGCTAGTTTTTCCATGTACCCAATAGGACAATTTCCTAAAATACTAGGTATGGGTTTTCTCATAACAGTTTATGTCAAAATAAGCTAATTTGAGTGTCCGTAAGAATATGGAGTGGCTTTGGAATTTAAGAACCTGTTTGTCAGGGAGCCTGGGTGGCTCAGTTGGATAAGCGGCTGCCTTCAGTGCCGGTCATGATCTCAGGGTTCTGGGATTGAGCCCTGCGTGGGGCTCCCTGCTCAGCCAGAGTATCTGGTTCTCCCTCTCCCTCTATTCCTCTCTCCACTCATGCACGCTCTCTCTCTCAAAGAAATAAATAAAATCTTAAAAAAAAAAAAGAACCTGTTTGTTTTAAATTCTTCGGGCATGTACTTACCTAAGTGGCATCTTTCAATTCAAGTAACTCACCTATCTAGACGGCAAGATGTGGAGATAAACATTATTTGTGTGTAGTTTTACAAAATAGTGTACTTCTGTTTTATCATAACTGTACGATGGGGAGAGTGTGTCTCCCCGTGGTGAAATTTCCATGGTGAGGTGCGGCTGTCCGTTGTAAAGTAGTTCACGAACTCAGAATCATTGTTTTGGAATTTGAGTCACCAACTACCTGAAGGAATGTAGTTAGCTTCTAAAGAGGCCCAGTTCCTTGTCTTTTTTAGACAGTTGTGAGTTTGGATCCCGTCAGGTTCTTGGATAGTGTCAGTCAGCTCCGTGACATGTGGCAGGCAAGTACAAGGATGGCAGCCATTCCACGCAAGGTGAAAATCAAAGTTAAAGCTGGCCCATAATTTTGGCCTTAAGCTGCTGCCTCCTCCTTCATTTATTTTTGATAACATACTTAATTGGTTCCATGTGGGCAAAGCAATTTACCCTGAGATGATGATTTCCACCAGGGGGATACGCAGGCTCAGCCATCTGCGAGGGAGAACAGTTGGTCCTGCAGATGAACTGTTTGAGCGTCTGTAGTTTTCAAAGAGGTGAGGTAATTTTACAAATTAAAAAAAAAAAATGCAAAAGTTCTGTTTACGCAAGGCAAAACTCTGAGTTGATAAGCAGCAAGTTAAAGCACATCAGTGAAAAGGACAGAGACACCCTGGCGTTCCGGGCACCCTGACACTGGGGAGGCTCGTCCTTAGATGTCCGCTGGGCTCTTCGTGTGCAGGGTACAGTCTGCAGCGTGACTCTCACCAGGCACTTCACTGCCTGAGTGAGCTAAGTGAAGGCAGAGATACTCGTACCCAGAGGACAGTCTCTTCAGAAGGTAGGAGGGGGCAGTTCAAGGGGGAGGGGAGAGGAAGGGCTAGGAAAGGCTTCCTGGAATCACCCATTCCTCAGGTTTGAGCTAGAGGCCTTTAGTGGCTCCACATCCACCAGGTGACCTCAGCAGGCTGCCCCATGGATGCTGGAAATGGGCCGAGACAGCCCTTGGGAGCGTCACCTCTGCACAGCATAGATTTTAGTAAAGAAGACTTTTTTCTTAGCTGATATTTACCATCTCTAAGGGTTCTTTTTTTTTTTTTTATAAGAATTTATTTGATAGAGACAAAGAGAATGAGTGGTGGCAAGGGGCAGAGGTAGAGAGAGAAAGAGAGAGAGAGAGAAGCAGACTCCCCGCTGAGTAGGGAGCCTGATGCAGGACTGATCTCAGAACTCTGGGATCATGACCTGAGCTGAAGGCAGTCGCTTAACCTACTGAGCCTCCCCGGCACCCTGTCCATCTCTAGTGATTCTTAAACATGTCAAGTCAACTAGATGAAAATATCAGATTGAACCAATGGCCAGTTTTATAGTTCAAAAATGGTCAAACCTAAAGAAATTTTTAATGATTCAACCTATTATTTATATATACATATTGACATGTCTATGTAATTGAAACAGAAGAGTGAATCATTGGAAATCTAGAGCAGCTAGCTTTTAAAAAAATTTTTTTATTAACATATAATATATTATTAGCCCCAGGGGTACAGGTCTGTGAATCGCCAGGTTTACACCCTTCACAGCACTCACCATAGCACATAGCCTCCCCAATGTCCATAACCCCACCACTCTCTCCCTACCGCCCTCTCATGGACAACCCTCAGTTTGTTTTGTGAGATTAAGAGTCTTTTATGGTTTTTCTCCCTCCCAATCCCATCTTGTTTCATTTATTCTTTTCCTACCCCCCCAAACCCCCCACGTTGCCTCTCAACTTCCTCCTATCAGAGAGATCATATGATAATTGTCTTTTTCTGATTGACTTATTTTAGAGCGGCTATTTTTAATTGGAATTTTTGGGGGGATAATTGTACATTTATAAGAGTTCTAAGAAGTAACACAGGGAGATCCCATGTTCACTTCACTCACTTTCCCCCAATGGTAACATTTTGAAAAACTATAGAATAAAATCACAACCAGGTCATTAACATTGATATAATCAAGCCACCTGTCTTATTCAGATTTCCCCAATTTTATTTGTGTTCAGGTGTATGTGTGTGTATTTCATTCTGCACAGTTTTCTCACATGTGTAACTTTGTGTGTCCGCCACCAAGTCAAGACACTGAACAGTTTCAGTAGCACAAGATTTCCTCCTGTTGGCCTCCCCTCTAGCTTCCTCTCACCCTGGCCCCAACCACTCCCATCCCTAACTCCTGGCAATCACCAATCTTTCCTCCTTTTCTAAAATGCTGGCATTTTTAAAATGTTCTATAAATGGAATCATACAGTATATAACCTTTGGGAATTTTTTTTTTCACTTTGCAAAATTCCCTGGAAATTCATCCAAGTTGTCGAATGTATTAATAGTTCACTCTTATTGCTAGTATTCCATAATATGGAGGTACCACCGTGTGTTTAACCATGCATTCATTGAAGGACATCTGAATTGTTTCCAGTTTTCGGCGATCACAATCGAAGTTGCTGTGAACATTTTCATATGGGTGTTGTGTGAATATTAGTTTTCATTTCTCAGAGATAAATGCCCAAGAGTGCAATTGCTGAGTAATGGTAGTTACATGCTTAGTTTTTTTAAGAAACTGCCAGGCAGGCTGTTTTGAGAATACTTTTTGAAAAATAAAAATGTCTAGTTTCAGGATTCCGTACTCAGTCTAAGAAAAACTTAATCATTTTTCTTGATCCTTTTTCTAGCCACACCATATCCTGGTGGATTTAAGTGTTTCACCTGTGAAAAGGCAGCAGACAATTACGAGTGCAACCGATGGGCTCCAGACATCTACTGTCCTCGAGGTAAACTCTCAGTACACAGACTGGGGTGCCCCAAGCTGCCCATGAGTGAACAGCCTTGCTGACTTTGACGTATAGATAGAGGCATGCTTGCAATTTCAACCACTTCTCTTGTCTAAGGCTATTAGTAGATCTTTCCTCATCAACTTATCATCAGAGGCTTTTAGAGACAAAAACTAATCATAGGCTTGTCCCCTTTCTCATGAAGCATCACTGGAGTGCCAGAAGAGGTAAGAGATCCTTCCCACCCCCAGGCTGAGCCAAATGCAGGACAAGAAGAGAACAACCAGCCTGTTGGCCACTCTTTGAAGCATTAGTCATTGCATAGTAACTTCTTTTATGTAAAGTATGAATTGATGTTCATTATAAAGATCCCATTTATTACATATCTTGCCAGAGGCACCTATCCTGAGAGTGTATGAAAGCTAGAATTCTAAATGCCATCATTGCACAAAAAAACCTGAGCTTTTTAAACTATTAAGTTCTTTTTGAAGGATGAGATGGATGCCCAATTAAAGCATGAAATTTTGACCCAGAGGCCCATTTCAAAATGAAGTAGAGGCTTCACATTCACATTCATATCTCTTTTATTCTCTTGAATAAAAAAGACAGTTATATTTGACTATGGAGTCACTATTAATTGGCTGTTTTAATTTTGGAGGAAAGTACGTTTGATGGGGAGATGATGAGAACAGAGCATTTTATTGACAAATGTTTGAGAAGTTAGATGGGTTTCGCTGAGACTTAATCCAGTTGTTAAAATGACTGAATACACCAACACCAAATCTATTATTTTTTAACATGATGCAGGAGTTCTCACGCTAACCCTAGGGAAAGGCCCTCTTTCTCCCATGGAGGACTGGACATCAGGAGAAGGTAGAAAATGAAATTAAGACACAGGTGCCCGCTGTGTAAGACAGTACTATTTAACCTATCAACTTTCACCTAAGCTGCCCAGTAGAAACACCTGTGGATCTCTTCAAAATCACTGGAACCTGTGTCCTCCCTAGGCCAGTGGTCTTCAAACTCTATCATGATCAGCATCCCCTGGAGGGCTTATTAAAACATAGATTTCTGTGCCCACCCATGCCCCATTCCTGATTCAGTAAGTCTGTGATGGGGGCTGAGAATTTGCATTTCTAAACAATTCCCAGGTGATACAGATGCTGCTGGGCTGGAGACCACACGAAAAGAAATACAAGTTTTACAGAACTTGAGCCAGCATCCCTGAGATGGGGGCGCTGCACTGGTAGATTCAAATACCATAGGTGATACTAATGAACAGTCAGGGGCAAGAACCACTGGGAGCTCCTCTCCCCACTAACAGAAAGTGAAATGTACTGTTGTCATTTCCAACCAAGTTCCTCTTGTTTACTTTTACGTAGAGATGCTAATGGAGTCCCAAATGACTGTAGGGAAGAGAAAAGCATGGAGATGCTGAAGATTAGCTTAATCACAAGCTAGATATCCCACCATCCTGGTAATCAGAGCTAAAAAGTTCTGTCTGCAGTGCCTTCTGCAGTCACGTGCTTATTTTGGACTAAGCCAGTGTTTTTCTAACATCACCCCTACATTTGGGTAGGCTGCTTCTCAAGCTCCGTGGCACATTGAAATCACAGAGGGAGATTTTAAAACACTGAGGCCTGGGTTCGATCTCAGGGATTCATATTTAAATGGTGTGGGGTGTGGCTGAGCGCAAGGATTTTTGAAATTGCCCCAGGTCATTCTACTAGGTAGCAAAATTTGAGACCCACTGTAAACAGTGACTCTGGACAAAAACAGGATGGTTTGCTTGTGTAGCCAATAACCTTTGGGATGGTTCCAGCAGGGACAAAGCTGGCAGGTTAGCTTTTGAAACAGTTGCCACGAGTCAGATGTACCACAGGACACGTGGGGGTGCTTTCTCAGCATTGCTCTAGCAGAGAGAATGCAGAGGACAAGGAGGGATTGTGAGCTGGGCCAGATTTCACAGAGGCCCAGTCCGAGTCTGATGGTGGGTAAGTATATCCCTGCCACAAAGGAAAAACAGGTGACCGGTAGCACTCTGCTTGAATTCCTCTCAGGAAGGAGAACAATCCCTTTTGATGCTTTCTTCAAAGGTCAGAATCTATTCTTCCAATGTACAGATATCGGAGAGAATCGCAGTGTTCACACAATTTCTTTTTCCCTTCTTTCCTCCCACTTTTATCTTTTTGTCCTTAAATTTATAAGGATAAGTGGAAAGTGATGCCCTGAGTTCATGACACAGAACCACCCTGCCAGGCTTTTTAGGGGATTAGCCAGTGAAAGATAAGAATCTGGTTTCTTCTTTCCGGGAGCACCCAGTTAGCTGGGGAGATCAGATCTGAATGCATCAAATGTCAAAAATATCAGGACAAAAGCAAGTTGCCAAGTGAAGCATGGCATTCAGTGCTCTGAGAGCTCCTGGGAACAACTGCTATTTGGAGGCTGAGGTGGCTAGGGACTGCCCTGTGGACCAGGAAGAGGCGAAAGCCTGCAAGTGGGCAGCCTAAGTGCAATGTGGAGGAGGGCGAAGCTTCTGGAAAGTCACTCATAGCAAAGGTGTGGAGAGGGGATTCCCAGGTGTGCTCACTGGACAGCAAGAGACCGAAACTGGGCAGAGAAACTAGTTCATGTTGGAGAATAGTAGGACCAAAGAAACGCAGCTTGATTATTTTTGTGGGGCCTTGACCCTTTCAGGGAAGGAGTAGAGACTGAAGCTGTAACCGGAGAAGAGACGGAGCCACACTTAGCTTCCTTCTTGACCAACCCCACTTCCCAGGAGCCATTCTCTTTCCTCCTGGGTTTTCTCCAAATTTTTCTCACGATGGAAACAGCGTCATAATTCTTAAATTAAAATCTGAGTTGTGTCTAACGACTAAAAACAACTGACTAACCCTGGACTTATTTTTTCTGTTGATTATTAGTTGGAAGCAGCTGAAGGACTACCAAGAGGCTTAGTCAGGGATGGCCAGTAGCGCCATGGAAGAACATCCTGGCTTTCTGTGATATTCCTGGGTTTTTGTTTGTTTCATCGCATGTTTAGCTAGGTTTTAATTATCACATGATGTGAAAATAACTTGTTGAAAGTGAAAAAAACCATATCATGTAAGTATTTAATCTTATCTCAATGGAACAAACCCCCCATTCCAAATGGCTTAGGGGACCACCTGGGTTTCAAGAATTTTTGAAAACCGAACTCAGTCAAATGGATATACACAGAGACTATTGTATTTTAGCAGTTGAGGTAAGCTTGCTCGTAATTAAGCAGACTTGTTATGAATCATCATTTGGCAAAAATAAGCATCAAGAAAGCCTTGTCCTAACTAGAATCACTCTGTCGGGCAATGGTGGCATCAGCCAGTGACCTCTAGCTAACTCAGGTTCCCTATCACTCTTACCTTTGACATGCGTGTTGTGTAAGGATTTTCTTCTCTGTCAGTTTGTTATTGCCTCTGGCTCTAACAGATTCCTGCTACCATACAGGAGAATTTAAGAGCCCTCCTTGGCTGGCTTCTGTTTAGTCTTTGGTTTCTGAGCACTTCCTGGGCAATAACTAGAGTTGGAAAGAATCTTGAAACCATATTATATGAGGGACCAGTTAAAGGAACTGGCGAAAGAAAACAAGAGTTAATGGTATGCATTCAGATCCAAAGGTTTTGCCTGTGTGCAAGGTTAAAAACTCTTTGAGAGAGGGGCTCTCTTGGTGTTTATTAAGAGTCTATGGAATTGAATGTCAAATCAAAAACATGACTGTTTTCAAAAAGGCACATTCTTTAGAGGATGTCTAAGCACCAAAGGCCCTTAGGTTTCTTCTTGAATATGAAGAGCCAATGCCTCCCTTTAAGGTGAAATCTTTACTTGAAATTACCACCAATGCAAAATCAGAAATATTGAGATGGAGGAACACATATCCTTTAGGGGCAAGCTTCTACGCTGCTCATGGTTTTTCTGTGGAAGTGAAGAAAAAGCTGGGCATGACACTGAGTGACTCTTTTATATGCATTACCTGGTGTAAGCAGGAAATATACCTGTGGTCCCCAGCATAACTGAAGACAAGCTCCATGGTTACAAATTTTCAGGAAAGACTTTTTTTTAAAGACTTTATTTATTTGACAGAGAGAGATCACAAGTAGGCAGAGAGGCAGGCAGAGAGAAAGGGGGAAGCAGGCTCCCCGCTGAACAGAGAGCCCGATATGGGGCTCGATCCCAGGACCCTGAGACCATGACCTGAGCTGAAGGCAGAGGCTTTAACCCACTGAGCCACCCAGGTGCCCAGGAAAGACTTCTTTATCATTGACTTCTTTCAGATGGAATCCAGGCTGAGATAGACAGCCTTTCTGTGTTACTTCACCTATGGTGGATTCTTTTTTTCTTTTTTAGGCAATGTTAGGATATAGCCCTTTAAGGTTTCTACCATTCTAAAGGGGTCTTTATTCTAGCTCTAAACCCCATCACGACCCCAGGCTTCACATCTTCTTATGGCCTATCTATTAACATCTCCCAGCCCCCACCTCTATCCTGGGTAGAGAACTCAGAACCGAGCGTTGGCCCTTAGAATTTCTCTTAAGTTCAGCAGAGTTCATTTGTATGTCTGCAGATGGTATTGGCTATGTTATCCGACATTCCTGGCTTCTGTGTAATGAAGTGGTGTTTAGGCAACCTATCTTGTCATATTGCTAAATGGAAGTCTTAGACTTCCTTTTTTTAAAGTAGAAATTTTAAAATTAAAGTGTAACATCCATGCCAGAAAGTGTATAGATCACAGGTGCTGAGCTCTTTGAAATTTTACCAAGTGAACAGGCTGTGTGTCTGTCACCCATGTTAAGTAACAGAACTTCAGAAGGCCACTAGGGTCTCCCAGTCACTACATCCCATCTCCCGGAGGTAACACAATTGTGACTACTATCACTGAGCTGTATATAAGTGGAATCACAGAATGTATTCCTGTCTTTGTCACATTTTCTATGTGAGAGAAATACATACATACAATCTATATGACT